TCTCTCTCTCTCTCTCTCTCTCTCTCTCTCTCTCTCTCTCTCTCTCTCTCTCTCTCTCTCTCTCTCTCTCTCTCTCTCCCCCCCGTGTTCACCTGGGACAAATTCGCACCTGTACACAGTCATGTTGGGAACCCTCATGTTTTCTGTACCCGACCGTACAGATGGCTTGTATACATTCATTACCAGGGTATGCTATGTTTGGGGGACGACCGTAATGCACGTTGTACATTCATTACCAGGGTATGTTATGCTTGGGGGACGACCGTATCCACGGTAGCCATGCACGCTGTACTGTGTTTGTGTGCGGGCGTGTGTGTGTGTGTGTGTAAGTCCGCACCGGACAAATTAGGGCACGGTTTCAAATTTGCCTGTGTGTGTGTGTGTGTCGACGGAACAAATTCGGGCACGGTTTCAAATTAGCCTGTGTGTGTGTGTGTGTGTGTTTGGAAGTCCGCACGGGACAAATTCGGGCACCGTTTCAAATTAGCGTGCACCCTCTCTACGTGGGCTCCACAGGGCCCCACCAGCAGGGTAGAGTTTTCTCAACGCCCGAATCTGGACGTGTTGGCGGAGATGTGCAGAAATGGTGTTATATTTCCTCAACACCATGTGCAGAAATGGCGTTATATTTCGTCAGCACCACATCTCCACAAACAAGTCCAGATACGGGCATTGAGGAAACTCTACGCTGCTGATGGGACCTGGCCCTTGTAGGTGCTACTCTGTCCACAGGTCCTGGTGGTCTACAAAGGTTCCGGTAGGTAGGTAGGTCGACAAAGGTCCCGTGGCACCCACTTTTTCTGTTGTTTTTGCCTCTAACGAACTACAGCCCTGGTAGGGCTGCCATGTCCCGTCTTTTTTTGCCCTTTTGAACTCGTCAGATTTGAAGTTGCAACGCAGTGGTTTTTCCTGCCTATTTCAAACTTGAAGTGTGACTCCGGAGCAGTTTCCTCAAAAAAAAAAGGGACTCTTTTTCTCTTGCCCATCCCCAATGGCTACCATTTCAGGTTTCAAGCTTAAAGTTTCCAGACTTTGGGCCGCGCTCCACTACTGTCCACTGTCCAATTTCCGACAGGGCGACGTCTCTCCACGTACTGTCCACATTCCACTGTACAAGTCGGACGACTTGACATTTCCCCTGGTGGGGTTTGTTTTCAACGCCACCCCACCCAAAACAGTCACAAAGATATAGAAAAATTGTGAATTAACCCGAGTGAGTTGCTAAGAATCTCTGAGGAAATTTTTGACAAAAGTTAGCCACTTGACTATCGATTTGTTCAGTGATTGTTTTTTGTTGTGCAATAGTCGCTCCACTTCCTGTCCAGCGTCCACTGTACAAGATGAAAACCAGTGGGACAGTGGTCAGAAACGGCGTGGACAAGCAGCTGTTGTCAGGCGATGGACAATTTCCAGCCTGCAAAAGTAGTGACACAGACGGTCCTTGCTCCAACCCAAGACCCAACTCCTTTTTCGATAGTGAGCCTGGAGTCTGGTCGGACAAATCCCGATTGAAGCCGTGTTTGGTAGTGCCGACAAGGTGTTTGCACTCTCTGGTAGTGACCGAGCGGGTAGTGAGCCACTGGTAATGAACTCACCAATTGGGGAGTTGTATAGTGGACAGTAAGTGGAGCGAAGCCACTCGAACACTCTTTTTTGCTAGCTAGCTCTGACTACGGTCCACTTTGTAAAAAAATCGCACAGTGGACGGTAGTGGAGGCGAGGCCCTTTTGCCAACCCCACCATGTGGCATCTAAAAGCCTAAGAAGGGCCTCACATCACTGCAGCTCTCTATATGTGCAAAACGAGAGTGAATCTTTCCCTAAAACATGGAACATACACCATGAATTTGTCTTTCGTGCATGTCTATAGTAGGGTGGAGACTCTGGAGAGTAGTGGAGCGAGGCACTTAGAGTGAGATGCAGAACTCAAATTTTGCCCCGTTGTCGACCTCAAAAGCACCTGTTTAGAAAGAAAGAAGAAGAAGAAAGAAGAAGGAACTTCCATTCCTACATGAACCAAACGTACGCTTCTCTTTCTCCAGCGTACATTTGGCGACAATTAGGTGCAGATATGACTCATACGAGTTAAAAAAAATCTCTCCTGTGACTCCTGTGAGTGCGCCGTAGATACGATCAAAGAGTGGGGGGCAGCCCCCATTGCCCCCCAGGACACACATGATGTAGCCACTGGCCCGTGTTGGATTACGGCCAAGTTCGCTAGAGAAAGATGCGTGACAAGTTGCCAAGAAAGACAGCCATAGCAGAAGGAGATAGGGCCTCGCTCCACTACCATAACTCTCCAAATGTGCAAAAAATTAGACTGAATCCTCCCCTAGAACATGGAAATATACATTGCGGTCATTCTTTTTGTCTTTCTTGCATCTGGAGAGTAGTGGAGGGGGGAGGCTCATAGACTACAGGGAGAGGGTCAACATGAGGGAAGTATAGAACTGAAGGATCGTGTGAAAATGGAGTTATACCCTTGGCCTTCCTCGTGGACATTAGGTTGTGAAGACAGCCAGAAGGTGATGAAACAACAATTGGAGTAGTGAGAGGAATCCCGCTGAGGTTATGAATGAAAGAATTATTCAAGTAGCAACGCATTGGGCCTCGCTCCAGCGGCTCCACTACTGTAGGCATGTGCTAAACGAGAGACTCAATGAATCTTCCGCTAAAACAGGGAAAGATACACCGCCATGATTTGTGTCTTTTGTGCATGTGGACAGATGGAAAGATAGACCGCCACCATTTTTGTCTTTCGTGCATGTGGACAGTAGTGAAGCGAGGCCCATTCACACGATGAGCAAAGAAAAACCTCACACACTGTCAGGCGAAGAAACACCCAAGTGATGCTTGAGAAAGAAGAATCCACATCCAACATGATTCCAACAAGCCCAAGAAGTGGCAAGAACCTCCCTCTCTCCAGTGTCTCCACTGACCCGACCGGTCCAAGGACTGAGGTAGCAAGCGAAATGCATTGGGGCATAAAGGTTTCTTTGTATCATTCATATGCGTATTAACGAAGAAAAAAAAAAAAGGGTCAACGTGATTGACCGGTTACCACCACGCTTCTTTGTATCATTATGCGTGAGTATCAACAAAAAAAAAAGGGTCAAAGTGATTGACCTTCAGGCTTCTCTTTTTTTTTTTTTTTTTTGGAGACCTTCAGGCTTTAGGTACTCTATTGTGAGTCTTCTGACGGCTGTGTGGCCACAGTTGTGGGTGTTTCTTT